CGCTCCAATATCAGTCACCACCTCTAATAGACTCTATTAATCAACGATGGGTTTGTCAATCCTTGCCTCCCAGTAGATCGAGCAAACCAGCGTTGCAATATTACGGTGGCCCTCAGTTTGAGGAGGGCCAGCCAACTCCAGGCCAGGGGCGGAAGACATCGGAAGGCGTCATTCTCTGGCCTTGCTGCAACTAGCTGACAATGCTCAAGCTTTCCTCTAGAGAACCAACATACAAGGTCGTTGAACCTTAGACGATATTGGTGTATGGTGGTTTCCCTTTTTGGCTTTCAAAACATCTGCCATAGATTGCCCGTCCCCTTGTACCCCCCTCTTCTTTGAAGTGAACAGCACTTATTTGCCAAGGGCCAGCGCAGAAGCATTTTCTGTCAGGTGAAGGTGCTGAGAGGGGGAGTGTAAAACCCACCGGGTTGCAGCAAACCTGCGAATGTGTTGCCTATCAGCCGATATCAGCGGCGAAAAGCAGCTACTAGCAGCTAGTCGAAAAGGGGGGGATGTCTGTAAAAACCGCATTGTTTCTCTTCAATCCTCAATTTGGGCTTGACTGGCCAAGTCAGATAAATGTAAAAATCAAATACAGTAGCAATTACTCACTGCCATTTGTGCGCGAACAAGTTGTAGAAGAAAGGGGGTGCTGGCAGTTTGCTGCTAGTCTCCTTCCGCACGTTATGTGATGTGCCTCAATTATTCTGCTGTCTGGGGGGCATTTGGCACATGCTTGTAGATTTATTGTGCCCCTGAGAATCACAACGCGCGCTGTATGCAAAACCGGACTTCCAACCGTGATGTTTTGCCATCCCACCTCGCTGCCAAAAGAACTTGCGGACTGATCTGTGCACGATGTGTGGAATGTTGTGCCTTACGCCGAGCTTGTGCCATAGCCTCTTCCGAGCTCACTGCGATCATTTGTGGTTGGCGCACGTTTGCAGCGCATAGGGATTTCGCTTGAAGATTGAAGCTTCCTTGCAGTTGGATTGGAATGTGAACCCACGAATCAACCTTTGGTCCAATTTTTGATCGGAAAGTTGTTCCAGATTGGAGGATATCCAGATCACGGAAGTGCCAGGAAGCTCCTCGCTGGCCGCGCGGACCCTTCCGCCGCGGACTACGACGGCCGCACGGCGTTGCACGTGGCTATCAGCCACAGCCACGCAGAGGCACCTACGACCCGAAGAAACCGGATTTCGGGGGTCTGCTTCTTGGTTTCAGTAGGGAATGACTGAAGCCGGGTGTCGGGAATGAACCGGAAGGGGATTGCCTTTCAGGAATCCATAGGGGATGGGTTGAGTCATTCCCTCAGTCCCTGCTGAGCACCAGCAAGGTTTTGCTCAATTTAACTCAGGGTACGTGTAGTTTTTGTTACTACCGATTTTGTCCTTTTGTTTGCCTGTGAAAAGGGGTCGAACCCAGGAGTAGTTCATAAACCTCACTACAGAGCCTTTGAATTGAAAAGTCAAGCAGAAAACGAGGTTTGGGGACGAGCTCTTGGCACGGCATCGAAGACCATGGTCAATGGTAGCACGTTGTCACCTTGAGCTACCCCGCAGCTTTTTACTTGAAGCAGGGGTGCGAGTTGTAACTGTGTAACCATTGATTGAGCCAAGGCTGATGTCTTGGGACAAGTGACAGCCTTGAACAAACATGATGCTGGAGGAGAACGCATGACGGATTCTCCCCTTGCAGCAAATTGATACAACGTGTACCATGCGCATATGCAGCGGAGTGGGCACTGCAAGGCTTCATCACCATTGTTCAAGCTGGCTGCGCCAAGGTTGAAGGAACGGCATGCAGGTGACAGGAAGGATGTGACAGTTTTACTGTTGCCTCGGCAAGAAGGGGATTCGTCAATCGCGGATGACGCACAAGCAAGGGCGCGAGGTGAAATTTTGACTTGCTGGGGTTATTCCAAAAAAGGTGGATCTAATTCATAGAATCACTAACGCAGTCCCTGCCCCAAACGCGCCTTCAGGTTCTCGGCCCCAAACAGCCCCTGACTGCCTTACGCATGCCGCTGCTGTTTGCTTGCGTCCACCCCTGCCAGTAACCTTGCTTAGGCGCCAGGCACTGTATGGCATATACAGATTCCACCTCAATCTCTGGGGTTACTGAAAGCGACATGGCACAACAGTTGCAGAATTATGCGACACGCCTGGTATTGATAGGCGTTCAACGGATGACATCCTGGACCGGTTGGGGCAGACATTAGTCTTGCTGTGTGCGTGGGGAACGTCCAGAGCGCCATCAATAGCTCAGGCGATGACTCCTTGTGTCTCTAGTATCGTTGTCACGTCTCTCCCGCACTCTCCTGTTACTTGGAGAACGCAATGGACAATCTCCCCCACAAAGAGCCCTTCCCCGCGAAATTCTGGCTTGCAAAAAGGGGAAGGCCTGCGCTTGATGATGCCGACACTGTTTCACTCATTCTCTCCGTATTTCTTTCGGCTGAATCAGGATTGGACAACCAAGCTTTTATAAGGTGTCAGGTCATCTTCAAACGTCTTTGTTCTCAGCTGGAGACTCCAAAGATTGATGGACGGTCTTCATCTTTGTTCTTTACGGTCCTTCAGTTTAAGCTGCCGTATGTTGTCTACCAGAAATCTCCAGTAAGCGAACACGTGGTACAGTTTTTTGGGCCCTGCATTGGTGGAATCGCGTCGGCGCCTGGGAGGTGGGGCCGGTGGGGGAATTGCTTGTCCTGAACGCGCAGGTGGTGGGGGTGCTCCTCAATGCCAAGGCAGGCCAGTTGAGGGCAGTTGGTGGGGAACGGTCGTTGGTTAGGCAAGCCGTCAGGTTGCTGGGCCCGATGTTTCAGAGACACGAAAGACCGAGTCGGATGAATCTGTGCTGTGTAGGGGCAGGGGTGGCAAATCTGAGGTTGCGAACTAATACTAAGGACGACGAGCGCACACAAGCAAATCTGCAGATGCCTGAGGCCAGCTACCACGCGCGTGATTCCTTTGGACGGACGCCTGTGGATGAGGCAGGGCCGTGTTTGGACTGGACTATCAAGCAGGGAGTTTGCCGGTGGAAAGCCCTTTTGTTTCTGCTCAAGTTTCGCATTCCTTTGTGCGCCTCTACTCAAAAGCCTTGAAAGCCGGCCCGCGGAAGACATCACGAAAGCCAGCCTCTTGAGGGACAGGCGTCAGCCGAGTATTCCTATGCGAACAAAGGGCAGAGGTGGAGGGCTCAAGTTCCCCCGGTCCGCTTGCCCTATTTGGCCGGGCATTTTGGGCAGGTCAAAGGGTTCGAATCCCGCCCGGGCCGCATGTTTGGGTAGATCCTTCCATTGGAGCTTGGTTCAGGCTAGTTCGCAAGGAGGTTTGGCGTGGATGTTCGATTGCTTCGCGATCGTGTCAGCCTGCAGATGTACCGGGGCTTGTTCAAGTACCATCTAGGGGGTACATGATTTTTGTATATGCTGGTGTTCTGTCTGATGCAAGGCGCGAAGGGTGGATGCTGCACCAACCCCTCCAAATCAATTTCGAGCCAGCCACTTCTGAAGTGGCCAAGCTAGCAGGGAATCCAATGTTTGATCGAACGAGCAAATGCCGGTCTTGCAGCACCCAGTGATGCTCATTGTTTGAATCCTCTCTGGCGGAATCCATCCTGGTTGTGATTTAAAGACTAGCTGGTCTGAAGCAGCCACGAAGCGAGGTGGCTTTAGATTTGCATTCCGCTGCTCAGCTACAGGCGCTCTACCACAACAAGTCGGAAGCGCCTTGGACTGAACACGTGCACGGGCTACTGGCAAAACACCTGCTGCGCAGACTGGGCAAATTTGGTTGCCCATCATAAAAGGAGACTGCACCTCTAAATGGCCCATATGTTTGTTGGTCTTTGCTAAAGGGAGACAAAGAATGGGTAGTGCGTGTTTCCGTGGCGCCCTATTCGTTATCCATCCATTGTCAGTCATCCAACTCTCGGACAGACGCCGCGCCTGGTGAATTGGTCGTGAGCCGTCGAAGCTGACTAGCAAATGTTGTCGATTGGCTAGAGAGTTGGCCCTTTGGCGAAAGGACATCCCAGATAGAGTGAAGCATTGCGTTTTCATCAACCTGCTGAGTGTTTGGATGTTCTGGGTTTGTCCTTGGCAATGGTTCCAGCACTGAGCGCCTGCATCCATTCATTTGCCAGATTTCCAGGGCAGGCTGCCCGTGCCCAAGCACGACGAGTCGGCCTCTTTATTTCTTTAAACAGCCGAGCATGATGGCCATTCCCCTTAATTAGCAACTCGTTAGTTTTGTTCATCAACCTTCCAACATACTGACTCGAAACTCAAGCCATGGAAGCCATGCTTCAAACCTACGTTGTTTGGCATCTCGAAGGCTTGGATTGGATTCCAAAGGCTTGCAAAGAGGGAGAAACTATTTCCATGTCACCTTTCATAGTTAGTTAGAATGTATTTATTTTGTTTTTTTTTATATATTGTTTGTAAACTGTATCATGAGTTGAACCGTTCCTTGTACTTTGGGGCAACTTACAATCCTTCCGTATCAACGAGCTTTGCCATTCGAATCTCCAGAAAAGCACTACTGCGCAGGCTCAAGGGGGGGTGGGGTAGGTTACCCCTGATTACATTCTTCACTCCAGGCATAAATTCAGCCCACATCAGACTTTTGGAGAAGCAATACGGGCTTGGCGTCAGTGGAGCCAGGCAAATACTGCAGTACTTGCTGGGGGTCGCAGTTCTTCACAAAACATGGTGCGTAGGCTGGTGGGCACTTTGGGTTTTGAACTTGAGGCGACACTTGCCGCCCTATTCGAGCATGACGTCATTTTTGTTTCTGGTGGATACAGATTGCCAAAGCGCCACGTAGGTTTGCTTGCTCGGACTCTAAGTGTGATTTGTTCCGCAAATGCTATCCAGGTCACGTCCTGTCGGGAGCACGCAATATTGCAAGGCCTTTTCCAGGGTTCCCTGCATGACTTTTTGTTGCTGATGTTTGGCCGACGTAGCGTGGGTTTCCTTTTAGAGTGCTGTGATGAGTTGGAAATACAGCCGGATCACTGTGTTTTTTTCCGAAGGCTTGAGCGTAGCACTGGCCGTGAAAGCTGAGGTGCTGAAGCTGTTGATGCAAGCGGGGGCCGACGTGTTGGACAATGATGCCACCAATAGCACGGACCTGGAGGTGGGGAAGCCAGGGTCTCCAAGCTTTACCCGGAAAACATGACATAGAAGCGGTACTTAGCCATGTATATGATATTACGAGTATGATGCATGGTGAATAATAATAATCATAGTATATGTATAATCTATAAATCGGATGGTGCGCAGGGAATGTATGCTGGAAGCTCATGTGTTGTGTCAGACAGGAGGCGATGAATCTGATTCTTCGGGGAGAGGTCTTCGGTTTTAGTACCGGTTCCAAGCAAAGGCGGCCTAGTTTTCAGCCATGCTCGGAAAGCATTAAGCGCCAGGCGACAGGGCAAGGCGAAAACGAAACTGGGCGAGGAGGGTCAGCTGCCCCGCATTGGGGTCTGATCTCTTTTGCCAGACATTAGGTACATCCTGGGATGGTCCAGGATGTCCACTTCCGCATTGAATGTATGTACAATTTCCCGTCCGGAGTCAGCACGAAAGAGGCCTCAACTTTGTTTCTGGCAGTTTTGCGAGGTTGAATTATCTCACACTAGGCTGAGTCTATGCCAACTAATGGAACGTACATTGGCATGCCACTGCATGCCGACAACTGTTTTCGGACGGTGTATGTTGTTCTTTCTATAGCTCTCTCCCGGTCTTTCCAGGCAGTAGATCTAAAAGAGCGGCATCCAGCTGCCATGCTCTTTCTTCTTTTGGTTTGTTTTCCCCTCCTTGTTCTTCTTCCTGCTTAATATACACAGGTTTGTCTTCAATGGGGAACGTCAACCGGAATTCCCTTTGATGTTTCTGCTCAAACAAATTTCAAGAGTTCTGATGTGCTCTTGTGCCCCCTTTATTGTTTCTCCTGCAACACGTTTCTGAGGTGGTTCTTCTCTGCGTCTTACAGGCAACGACAAGGAATGTGGATTGTTGCATGTGGACTTTCATTGTCCCTTTCTTGCCTGCTACGTCTCGAAATGTAAAGCTTGCCTTTGCTGAGGCTTGCCGTGATGTTTATGCTTCTTTTTGGCTCTAGTGTGGGAAGCAGGGTGTCATGCTTGCTTTCACTTGATCGAATCAGTCAAATCAGGAATCTGTGATGGCTTCAAGATGAGTCTTAGGGAATTTGTGCATTTTTTTTATCGGACACGAAACCCTTCAGGAACCTGTTTGTTTTCCCAGAACCTAAGGACAGAAAGGCTAGCTTTCCTTTCAACTCGCCTCAAACAAATCTGACAAACAGAAGATGTCTAAAGAGTATGGTGTATCTCAATCCCCTTAATAGAATGTCCAAAGAGTCTGTGCTTTGCCACACAGCAAACACACGCGCACACGCAAGCAAAATCGCCGAGGTTTGGAGACCGTCCATTCGCTTCGCAGGTCCTCAAGACGATGGCCGCTTCCGAGCATTGGCTGATCCCCTCTGGCGAGGCGATATCGCGCGCGAGAGCGCGATCGAGCGAGAGGTCCTGTGACACCGGGGTCTTGATTGACATATATTTCGTTTTCAGAATCCCCAGCTCGAATCTGGGTTTCACTGTGAAACTGGAAGCCCCAGAGTTCGACATCATGTTACCTTCCAAGCTTTATTAAGACCAGAATACGCAAGTCTTCTTGCTTGGGGCAAAGCTTTTGCAAACAACACACATGAGATCGAAACAGGGTCTATTCATGGCTTTTTGTCGCACCGACAGCGAGTGTGGATCTATGGGGGGAAGTATGTTCTATGAAAAAGCCAAGGTGTTACTGGGTGTCTCTTCAGCCGAAGCTGCAAAATGCACATCAACCACGGATTGGTTCCCTTGGGTTCTTGTGTGTGTTAAAGAATACACTGATTTCTGCTCCCCTATACTCTCGAGGTGTATGGTGCAAATGGGAATGCTTCGGTTTCCCTTTTCCCTTGAAGACATCCTCCAGGGTATCCTTAAATGCGTGGCCATTCGTAGCCACAGTTTGCGATTGGTCGGACAATGGAGGGGTCGACAGACATCCCTAGCCCCAGGTCGTTTGAAAGATCCTTTTGGCACCCTGACCGCTTAATCTCCTCCAGAAAGACGCTCCTGCAGAAAGGTGTCAAGGCCTGAGTCAAGGCATTCCTGTCTTGGCTGGATACAATGTGTTTGTTTTGTTGATGGGGGAGTGGGGAAGAGTCCAGGGACAACCAAGCATAGCATAGACAGATGCAGACCCACACGCACACACAGACAGACAGACAGACAGACAGACAGACAGACAGACAGACAGACAGACAGACAGACAGACAGACAGACAGACAGACAGACAGACAGACAGACAGACAGACAGACAGACAGACAGACAGACAGACAGACAGACAGACAGACAGACAGACAGACAGACAGACAGACAGACAGACAGACAGACAGACAGACAGACAGACAGACAGACAGACAGACAGACAGACAGACAGACAGACAGACAGACAGACAGACAGACAGACAGACAGACAGACAGACAGACAGACAGACAGACAGACAGACAGACAGACAGACAGACAGACAGACAGACAGACAGACAGACAGACAGACAGACAGACAGACAGACAGACAGACAGACAGACAGACAGACAGACAGACAGACAGACAGACAGACAGACAGACAGACAGACAGACAGACAGACAGACAGACAGACAGACAGACAGACAGACAGACAGACAGACAGACAGACAGACAGACAGACAGACAGACAGACAGACAGACAGACAGACAGACAGACAGACAGACAGACAGACAGACAGACAGACAGACAGACAGACAGACAGACAGACAGACAGACAGACAGACAGACAGACAGACAGACAGACAGACAGACAGACAGACAGACAGACAGACAGACAGACAGACAGACAGACAGACAGACAGACAGACAGACAGACAGACAGACAGACACACAGACACACAGACACACAGACACACAGACACACAGACACACAGACACACAGACACACAGACACACAGACACACAGACACACAGACACACAGACACACAGACACACAGACACACAGACACACAGACACACAGACACACAGACACACAGACACACAGACACACAGACACACAGACACACAGACACACAGACACACAGACACACAGACACACAGACACACAGACACACAGACACACAGACACACAGACACACAGACACACCCACCCGCCCACCCACGCACGCACGCACGCACGCACGCACGCACGCACGCACGCACGCACGCACCCACACACACACACACACGCTCTGCTCCATGGCCTGTGAATGACGAGACAGGAATCTGGCAATCTACCGAGCACAAAACCAAACACTTGCAAGCTTGCCCTGCGCACATCACTTCTACTTGAGGTCCCACTTGGTCTAACAGATTATCACACATGTACTCTGAACCACCCAAAGCAAGCGTAGATATGATGTGTGTCGCTTCATTCGCCGCATCCATCGTTGGGTGCCTTTGCCTAAGGACGCCCTATGTTCAGTCAGTTGAGCTGTCGATGTGCATGAGATGTTAAGAGTCATTTGTTCGACATGATAGGGGGCAGCATGGTTAGGCCAAGCCTGCGGAAATATGAACAATACCAAACAAGCAACTTTGAGACTGGATTGGTATCATAATGAGCAATTGCCCAGTTCTGAGGAGAGGCGATCTATGTATGTTGTCAATTTTTCGTTTTATGGAGTCCAAAAGCCATGTCGGTCCCCGACCACCCAGGTCACCCGAGCATATGCGTCTAAGACTAGCCCAGTGAAGCCAGCCACAAGGCCATGAGAGCGCATGGTTCTAGCAATTCAGCTGCTGTGCCGGCCAGGCATACCAGGCCTGGGGCGTCCCTTGAGCGAAACAAAGGAAAAGAAACAAGGCTTGAGCTTGCAGCCAGTTGTTTCGTTCTTTTCTGGGAGGGAACGTTTTTCAGGGAGACCAAGACGAAACCGTCCTTAAAGGGTCCACATACCGTTTGATTATCCAAAACCCACATGAGCGACGTTCTAAAACCCCAGCACTTGAAAGTAGTATTCGGGAGGAAATATCGTTTTCGAAATGTTGACTTTTCCCAGGTCGCGGAAGCGCCGCGCAAGGTTCGCGGAAGGGGTTTCTCATTTATGTACTCGCGGAAGCTTTGCGGAAGGGCTACGATTCTATCACGAAAGAAAGAAATTGTAGTTTCCTTCACGCGCGGAAGCGAACACACTTTTCAATCCCATTTCTCAATCCGCGGAAGCGACGCGGAAGCGATCCCCTCTTCAAACCTATTGCGGAAGGAACCTTTCATGCCGCGCAAGCTCCGCGGAAGCATTCGCGGAAGGGATGATATTTCTCTTCGGCCGCAACTGGGTTTAGAACACTGCTCACATCAAAAATTGGCTTTGGGCTGGGTTGCGTGCAGGTGACCTTTCAGAAGTGCCTCTCCACCACGATCAAGAGTGCCGTCTATGTCGCAAACTGGCGGGGCCTCAAGGCCAGAAGCGGGCGGAACTCGTTTTGCCGGGGCAAGAAACTGCCATGGCCCGAAGATAAGATTTGTGTGTGTGAGTTGCGTGTGAGCTGCAAAGCTGTTCAATTCTTTGTTCTGTAGTTTCACAATGGACAGTTGCCCCTTTTTCAACAATGATGTTGACAGGAAGCCTTTTTTTGCCGGCACATGATTGTGCTTTTTTGGAGAAGTGTCACGTTGGCTTGCGGTTGGAGGACTTCGTTTGGGCTGACAATACACCCACCACATCATCAACCGGCTGCCACAACCATCCCTTGAGATGTGAATATGGAAAGCAAATGTCCAACCCATCTGCAGAGTTCTGCCCCCTTGGTCGACAAAGGGTTCATGGGGCTTCAAGGGCGTTCCTAAAGCAAGTGCGTTTTCGTCATTCAATGATCAAACCCGAAGTCAAATGAGTTTCGGTAACACTCACATGGACCCAGCTTGGCTTTCAATGAGTCAGAAATTCAATTTGTTTCAGGTTGGAGGCCGTTTCTTCAGATCAAACCATCCGCGTGGTGAGGGTTGTCAGAATTACGTCCCGGTTGGCTTGGCCGAATTCTAAAGCAGATTATGCGGTTGGGCCTTTTTGATGGTACACCATTTCGAGCTTTGTTTTACGCCAAAACGATCCTTCATTTTTTGGGGTTCACCTTTTTGAGAGACCTATGACATGCAGGAAATCATGTGCGCTTGTTCGGAAGCCAAAAGAGCACAAAACAGAACCGCTGAGGATGTAGCCCCAGACCTCCAGTATTGCCCTTTTTGCATTTTTTGGATGATAGTTTCCTTGAACAACTAAGTGTGCCCCGTTGTGCCCTATGGTCACAGGGTTGGGTTACTCCGACTGGAGACGTGGCTGGATGTTTCAGCAGGTGCCCAGAGGGCACAGGTCAGCAGTCGAAAGGCGCCGGGACGAGGCGAAACATGCAGCTCAGTGCCGGCGTGGTTTGCGTTGTTGTTTCTAGTAGCAAAAGGACCCACCAAATAAGTGAATTTCTTGGGCAGAAGAAACTGCAAGGCATCTCGTTCCAAGAATGTTAACACACATCGCGTTTGCCCAGGGAAAGTTTGTGCCGCCCGCTTGCTTAGTGAATTGCCCAGCGGTCGCAGACAGCATTGGTGTGGCACTTCCCACCGCAGGTTGTGGCGAAGACGGTGAAGGATATAAAGCTGGAGCCTCAGAAGTGGACATTGCAGTGCATGCGAGAAGCGAGCTCCCCATGCCAACCATCGACTGACAAGCAGGCTACGCTAAGACGCACATTGAAACCCACCTGTCATCTTACTGTTGATATGTAGCAGGCTGTGACGCGATAATTGGGATCATCTAGAGTTGCTGGTAGGCGTGTGAGCGACTTCCAACGCCATCCCTTCATCATGGTTGTTGTTGGGAAACATTTTACATTTGTGCTTATTGTGGTTCAGTGGGAAATCCCCACTTAACTACTATTTTTTTGTTGCTCCCTTTCCAACGTCAACCAAGTCATTGACACGCCCCATGCCTTTCCCCGGTGCCCATATTCCAAGTGCATGACCCATCTTCAGACTTGGCCCCTGGAAACCTGCGACGAACAACCATATTTCAAGTGCAGTTGCAATCGATCACAACCATATTCCATTTGCTAGTCCACTACCGCACATATTTGTCACGTCAGACATCAGTTTGAGAAGAGGCTCCCGGGACAAAATCAAAAAGAACCTGTGCAAGTAGTCATTGCTGTTGTGTTCCCTGCTTGTCCATGTCAGATGTTCGGGTGGGCTATGATGTGCTTAGCAGTGGCTTGATTCCCAGGCGACGCCACCCCCTGCGCTCGTTTGCCTTCATCGGGTGTTCCCTTTCAGACACATGTTCTGAGTCTCCGAGGTCTTCTGGTCTCAACATTCGGGAACAGGACAGCTCCACGGCGCCTCAGCTTCGGGGTGGTCAGTGGGCTCGGTGGTTCCCCCTTTGAGTCTGAGACCTTACAGGACCCCCAAAGATCCCCCCAAGGCTTCAGGGGTGAATGAGCCAAATAAGGCCTTGAGGCGGATCATTCTTTAGCTTGGAATTCCTCCAAGCTGATTAATCCGGAGTTGACATCATTGGATAGAGACAATAGACAGTGAAGGGCATTTGGACGGGTACACTGCCATTCTGTGGGGCAGATTGATTCATTGCTCACGGCCGGTTGTCTCAGCAGTTTTAGTGTAGTGATTGCCTCGTCAGAAAGCAACCCAGCATCTTCGCACACAGCAGCATAGGGTTCCCAAATGATTTGCTTCCATTAAAACCTAGCTGCCTATGCAGAACTTGGGTAAGGATCACAATAGTCACCTTTTTATTGAGGAGTTTAGATTGAATCATGGTTCATGGAGACATGCCCACCAAGAACTCGTGAGGTACTTGTCCATGGCGCATGATTGTTGTGCAACACTTTGCCCAGATGTTGGATTTGGATGGCTGCCTTGAAGCCAGCGGGTATTCCCTGATCGAGGGGCTGACTGGTTGATCCGCGGAGGGCATGACTTCCGCGGTGCCGTCAGTCAACAAGACTTAGCTTTGAAACTTTGGAATGCGTTGGATTTACTATGATCATTGCCTTGTCTTGAAAGGGGGTGGACACCTATCGACGTGGGCTGCGCGCTGCCGGCTGTTTGTGTGACGCTGATGCAGACGTGCTTCGTCCTTGATGTGTTGCACAAGTTTCACATTTCGGCATGAACAGCAATCTGATTTGGAGCCACCACTAACAAGGTCTGTCAGATGCTCTTGCAGCGAAGCGAGCAGTTCGCTCGAGGTTGCACGAAGCATCGAGAGTGAGGCGAGAGGTTTAGGTTTGCTTTCTCGAGGCTAAATCGACCTACCGAGATTGCTGTTCTCTTGAGAAGGCGTATTGTCCGTGGTATTGCAGTATACCAGAAGCCTCTCTTCATTGAAGCAGTTCTTCCGGGCCAGTGTGAGTGCGAAGGCCGGCTTGAAGTGGTCTCGTGCCTGAAGCACAAGGCGTGTTTGTTTTGTCGCGTTCTGAGGATCATCCCGAGAGAATCAGTTCTCTTTGGATCAACCATTCCTGGGCAAGGCAATCCCATTTCGGTAGCGGCCCAGCTTTCACTGCCAGCAAGGAAGCGATCGCCAGACACGAGCTGATGCACGAGATGAGGCCGGCGACTGGCTGGCATGAACAGCCAACTGACTGAGCAGATACTTACCCTCAAGCAACAAAACCTAGCTATCCGCTTGAGGATTCCGTGGAACAGCCAACCATTTCCAAAGGATCTCTTGCCAAGGGCGCAATAAAGGGTTCGTTGGGGCTTCTTTAGATCATAGCTGACGAAAAAGAGGACTATTCTGGTAATCAAAAGATACCGGGGAAAGGGCTGTGATCACCAAGGATCGGCAGGCCGAGTTGGCTTGCGTAAGTGCTAGATGTGTTTGATACTAGAAGAGTACGTTCCGCGCGCACACACACAAACACACACGGCTTGCTAGGGTAGCATTTGCAAGCAGAGTGGCTAGGATGTTTTTCCTGGTACCGGCGTCAAGTCTTGGAAAATAATTGTAAACGCTTCGCGTTGCCCGCCTCGGCCAGTCCGCTTTTGGCTGGCTTTGAGGTATATACCGTGCTTTAGTTTGCCTTGAAGTCTTGTGTTGTTTAGCGTGAGTGCGTCGGCGCCCAAATGCATGAGCGGGTGTCCAAGGTAGAGGGTGGGTGCATGTCCACGTGTTTCCACATGGCTTCAACTGCAGAGTACAGAATGGCTGCGGGCTTGGGCGAAGCGAAGGTGCAAATTTCTGAGGAATTTGACTGGTTTCTGGGGGCGAACGTTGCCGGTTTCAAGGGGCGGGTTTGACCGAAGTTGGACTTGTTTTTAGAGGGGATGTGACGTTTACAGTTTTCAGGGGGCAGGACCCGATTGGCTGCTGAAAGGGGAATTTGACCGGGGAATTTGACCAGCTTCTACCGGGGTTTGACTGGAGTTGGGCCAGCTTTGAGAGGGGGCTAAGTTGGCCGGCTTCTAGCGATTTGACCGGAGTTGGGCCGGTCTTTAGAGGGGATTTGTGAAGTTGACCGGTTTCAACGGTTTCTACGGCTTTTAGAGGGATCACCTTCGGGAATTGACCGGTTTTGACTGGAGTTGGACCAGGGGGAATGTGACCGGTTTCTCGGGAAATTGACTGGTTTGTGATCGGTTTTGAAGGGGTGCACCATGGTCCAGTTCAGGGTCCGTCTTTGGATGAATGTGTGGTTTGAATCGGGTGGTGGCATTCCGCTCCGAAAACCACAGCCCTTGTTTAGGATATGCTCATGGAGGTTTGCAAATGCGGGTCAGGATGCCTTTGCAGGAGCACGCTTCTTCCCCGAAAATGAAATTGGGCTCAATGGTTGGCCTTATACATGTTTTCTAGGAGGAAACCGACCAATGGGGCATCTTCAACCTTGCCCAACACTTATGAAAAAGCAGTTTCCACTCCTCCCGAATTTCCCAGCAAATGCATTCTGGAGATATAAGTTTTAGAGTGACATTTTACGCGGCTCCTCCATTGGTTTTACCCCGCTTTCCTGTGAGCAGCCACAAGCCGGGGGTCCTGGAGCTGCCGATTCTGCCAGGACACTGTCCACGCTGCGTCACCCGGACCTGGTCCTTTTCCTGGGTGCCAGCCTGGACAAGACCACCTTCTTCCTCACAGAATACATGGAGGCGATTGCGGGGCAAGTCTCAAGCAGAGTGTCTCATTCGTATGGGAGAAAAGGAGTGTACAGCATTCCGACAATCAGTCGGTATTGGCCCAACGTCTACCACTTTCCACCCATCAAAATTTAGCAGGGAGTGCCCTCTGAGTCACTGGATTGCAGTTCGAGAATTCGAGATTGGCTGTGTGGCGGTCCCCTTCAATTTGCAACGCCTTGCAAGGCGAGTGCAAGTCGGCCAGGCTGCCAACTGTTGAACTTAGGTCCCTGAGGGCTTTCTCTATTCGGATGGTGGACGGCGTGGATGGCCCTTTTGATTCGGGAAGTTGTGCTTTCCATTGGACAACACAGCAGTTGCCTCAAGGATGTGGCATTTAATTGGCCTGGCTTGGCTGTAGCACTACTCCTGCTCGGGCCCAATTATGACATTGTGTGCACCATTGAAGGCTGAACAGGGTTTGCTTTTATCTACCTCCCTTGAGATTTGCAGTGCTTACTGATCTAGCCTCGTTTCGATTGCATATTCAGGTTTCAGGCACGTATAGTATTGCTTGAATGTAGAATGGCTGGAAACGATTTATAAACCCAGTGCCCTGAAAAATGGACGCTTGTTGATTATTTGATGCGGTAGCCCTTTGTGGGTTGTTTCAAACCGAGATTTTGCTAGACACCACCCCTGGGGCTTCCCCAACTTGCGCACCAACTCAGGGCCTCAAGCGAAAGCGCTAACCGTTGTCCCCCTGCCAGGGAGGAGATGTGGAGAATTACATGCGCAACCAGCGCAAGAAGAGCGGCAGGGACGACTTTAAGCCTTCGTTCAATGCAGCAACCTTAGACACAGATCGCTCTCCCGTACTCAGTCATCTATCTCTACTGGGGGTAGCAGAAACGACCGGAAATGCAACCCAAGGCTTAAAGGTTGAAAGCATGTCATGTGCCTCCTGCAGTAATCCGCTGCGTTTGGTGACGGCCAGAGAATCGACCAAAGGATGTGCAAGAACTGGTGATTATGATTGGCTTGGCCCCAAGGACACGGGGTAGCTGCTTTGCTAAGCATTGCAGGTTCCATGTTGGCACCACTTTTGTGGGACCCTGGGCTCTATCTTGCGGATTGGTAGATGGTTTGAAAGCCTGGAAGGGTCAGGTCAAAGGGGTCGCCAAGAGCCATAGGTGCAAGCGCGGGCGCCGCTTGCGCTGCTTGTGGACCTGTATGATTTCATGGGCAAAATATGGAAATGTTACCAACCTGTGACACCGCGGCCCCAATTCGCGAGCAACTGCCCTGATGGGAGCGTGGCCCTGCTTATCTCCCTCTCCAGGCTTCAGAGTCGATGATGCCGATTGCAACTGTTTTATGAGCCGCTTGATCTTCTTGAGTCTGAATGCAACATTTGAATCAGCCCAGGAAGGCCCAGCATCATTTGCGGGGTTTCCATACCCAGCCGGTTTCCCTTACAATTCATCTATTGTAAAGTGCCCCTCTTTCCATGGCCCAAGTGATTCCTACGAGATCGGATCTGAGGTTTGCCTTTCCTGGTGCACCGCGATGGCGCGCGCTTTGTCTTTTCTGCACGGCTGCGCAAGACCTCCGTTCGAATGTCGCGAATCGCAATTCACTGGCCGATGGAAACCGAGTCCTTGGTCTACAAGTTGTTCTATGCCATTATTTTTGCCGAGAGACGCCTTTTTACTTGTACGTTCGGGGATTTCCGTAGGGCCGTCGGGTTTCATGTGGACAGCCTGGAACATGTGTACAACAATCAGCACTAGATACTGAAAAACGCTAATGACAATCGGAATCCTCAACGGCTGCATGTTTTACACGGTGATGCCTGATTGACGCAGTGGGGATGCTTCGCACTTGTCCAATGTACTAAGCTGGTGTCTTTTTTGGGGGAACTCCCTTTTGCTTGGTTTCAAGACGAAACCAAAAGGGGAGCCTCCCCTCAGTTTGAGAAGTCTCCCATTTCCACCTCGAAGTTTGTTTGCTTTGACTTGCGACATGAAATTGTTTGGGGCTCGATTTGCCTTGAAAGGATCAGTTTAGGTTGGAGTCACCAGAGCTGGGATCGTTAGTTTTACCGGGGGTTATCAAGGTCAGCCCAGGGGCTGCTTCCGCTACTTCCCTTTATTTACCACTTGGGGGGGTTGACTTGTATAGTCTCTACAGGCAGAAACTGGCATTCCCCGAAGGCATTGACATTTCCGGTTCTAGTGTGGACTGCCTCACTCACATTCTGGGGATTGACGACGCAGCACCGTCGAACCATCTCTCATTGCTCTGGAGGACCCATCATCCATCGAGATTTGAAGCCCTTGAATCTGCTGCTGACGAAAGATCTTACTTTGAAGGCGCGGTTCGGGCTGTCCCAGTCCGGAAGGCATGGGATGATTCCGTCGAAAAGCAAATATTGGGTCACCTTTGTATGACACTACGCTGGGTGGGTGGGTGGGGTTGTGGTTGGGGTGACGGTGAATGACATGACTCCAGCCTGCATGAGCGACGTGGCAGCACTCCGGGCTGTTCGCTTGGAGGTCGGCCGACATGTAGGCCAGACATGTAAGCAGCACCTGATTCTTAACGACTAACTTTGAGAAGCAACTTGTTTGTTCCTCCAACAGGGTATTTGCAAAAGATGCGTGCACTTCATTGTTTCACACCACTGACACGAGGCCGTAAGCAATCTGCACAGCCATCGGTGGAAAAAATCTACAGGGACCTCAAGGCGCCTCAACGACGATGGTTCCTTTCCTGGGGCCTGATGCTTGGTTGGCGAATGTGCGTCAAGGCGCCAGATGTGTAAATTGCCATTTTCGGGGCTTCAGTAAAGCTCGGCGGTGCGTTGACGTACCAATTCTGACACCTTTTGGCCGGATGGGTTCATAATGTTGCGCATTTGAGGCTTCGAAAAGGGCACTTGTTCTGCTTTCTTTTGGGGGGAGGCAACCAGGAAACATGGGCAATTTCGGCCCTTTGACTTAGGAGGTGTTATTTGCACCAAGGTCTTTGGCCGCCCTACTTGCAAGTGAAAGGGAGCAAAGACAGGGATGGAGCCATGTTTTCAGACATCCGCAAGGTTGCTGACCAGTTCCCGATCAACGCATACCCCTTTTGGGAGTAGGCCAAGCAGAAAGCCTCAATCAGGGAGATATGATTCGATGGTCTGAAGTCTGCACGGTCCACAACCCAGGCTGCTCAAAGGCACGAGCTGAAGTGCGAACTGCAAAATTGTAATCAGCTCTCTCTCC